GTTTATTAGGTGTACTCTGCGGAGACGGTCTGCGTTTGTTAGCTGTACTCTGCGGAGACGGTCTGCGTTTATTAGCTGTACTCTGCGGAGACGGTCTGCGTTTGTTAGCTGTACTATGCGGAGACGGTCTGCGTTTGTTAGCTGCACTCTGCGGAGACGGTCTGCGTTTGTTAGCTGTACTCTGCGGAGACGGTCTGCGTTTGTTAGCTGCACTCTGCGGAGACGGTCTGCGTTTGTTAGCTGTACTCTGCGGAGACGGTCTGCGTTTGTTAGCTGTACTATGCGGAGACGGTCTGCGTTTATTAGGTGTACTCTGCGGAGACGGTCTGCGTTTATTAGCTGCACTCTGCTGCCCCCAGAGGCGACACAGCTACAGCATGAGGATTGTGCTTCTCAGTCTGCTTTTGAACAGATGCTATTAGTCTGCTGTTTGTTTATTGAATTACTGCCCCCAACCCTTCAGCATGGAGGAACAGGACCCCCTACTGGCCCCCCAGGACTGCGACCCTCAAGGCTGTACACCCGTCCTCCCAGACTCACATCAGATTCCTGATTGCCCCAACTGTGCTGATGTCATACTGGTAGTCTCTCTCTCTCTCTCTCTCTCTCTCTCTCTCTCTCACAAACACACACACACACACACACACACACACACTCCATTCGACAGCCAACTCGCTGGGGAGGACGCTTCCTTAATCACTGACTGCTGAAAAGTCTAGACCTTCATTTGACCCTCTTAATCTGAAACTCCATTTATGCAACATTTGCACTATTGAGCTGAAAGTGCGTCGCTGGGCTATTTAAAATATGACAAATGCAAAACAGAGTCTGGCGCTTGTACTGACGGTCATGGTTTGGGAAAACTACATGCAGTCGAAAATCTGTTATCTGAGTTTACGAGACCCGTTTTAAAAAACATAAATCCTGGGTAATCTTCAAAGATGTTGAAGCTGATATGAAAGTCGGGGGGGTTACCTCAGCATCGAACAGAAAACAGAAACAGAAGCATCAAAGGGTAACTGCTGACATGTTTACTGCTTGGGGTGTCGCCGGTCACCCTCATTACGGCTCCGACTGCCTCGCAGGCAAAGTGATCGCGTTTTTAATAACCATCCAAGGAGCCGCGGCGGGGCGGGGCGGGGCTGAGTGAAGAGGAGGCGAGTTTGGACGCAACACCTACCCCCCCCCCCTTCTCATTCCTCCTCTGTCAAACTAAAGAACGAAAGTGGCTTAATTAACCTCTATGTTAAATACGACATGGGCATTGATGGTGGTCAGGTTGTTGTTTTAACGTAATGAATCTGGATTTAGCTGTTGCTGGGTTGATGATCTCGTCATCGCCAAACCCTGGAGGCTGGGAGTGACCAGCTGAAGCAGCTGTGGAATATAACTGACGATAAGGGTGGAATCTGGGAAATCGGCAGGTTAAATATTCCTTTTTTCTGTCTAATATCCAAGAAACTAATCAACCCTTGTATCAAAGTTTCATACTGGTTTTCTTTTGGTCTTTAATGGTCTGGTATCCTCATTAGACTGGTTTTTCATCTTGAGATGATGCTCATTTTTGTCTCACTCAGGTTGCCCTCAAAACCTGGCACCCAATCCAGAGTATCTCCCTCCCATGTGCTCTGGCTGCCTGATATAGTATCCAGCCCCCCCGCCCCCCCACCAGGCTAAGCAGTTGGAAGGTGACTGAGTGGATATTAAAGCACAATTCAATTTAACCAAATCATAAAATTGCATCATAATATACTGAAACTTTCAGTTCCACCCACACTAAGAGATGTCCTGTGTCTGCCGCACCAGCAGGGGGCGATATCCGCATCGTCAGCAGCTTACTCACAGGGTGCCTGCTGTGGGCTTTCTCCTTGATAGTCTGTTGCAGATCTGAGGCTTGCTGTAGGAAAGAGTGAGCAAGGTGGACCTGCTCCTCCAGTAAGTCCACATCCCTCCTAGGCAGTGGCCAACTGAGGTCCTCCTGGGCCCCCAGCAAGGCAACCCGGTGCTCCGGGAAAGCCACTGGCTCCTCGCTGCCAAGCCTATGAAAAGGTGCACACAGAAGACGAGTCACTTCCTGTCACCTGAGAGCCCAGTGAAACACACTACTGTGCCATTATCTTAGGCAGTCAAAGAAAATGATGTTTAAATGGTAAATGGTATCTTTGTGTGAAATTATGATATTATGTCTATCAAAGTGTGTCATCTCAGCCGTTTTAAAACCTCTGCTAAAATCACTCCTAAAATCACTCCAACAATCACCCCTAAAATCATTCCTAAAATCACTCCAATATTTGCAGCAACTGTCCAGTACACCCACTTCCTTCTTGATACTACCACTACTGCAACTCGTATGGATAATCTATACCTCGTTGGATTAACTAATTAAGTTAATTGAGCAGGTGGCAAAATGGAACAGATACATGGAATATCTGAGGCACCCCTGAGGGTCTGGCAACCAAAGCAGGTCTCTTCTATGTATCCAACAAGGCATCAGTGACTTTTTGGAGAAAAGAAGAAATTCCTGTTTATGTTTATTGTGTTACTCTTAATTGCATATGTTTTAAGGCTTAATATTTTTTTCCTGAGCAAATGCATAACTGCAGGATAGAGTCCCAATGCACAAACCACGGCATGCAAAGCTAATCATGCCTCGTTGCACAACACTCCATATTATTCTGTATTACCAGCATTATCAGCTGACATCTATCTGTGTCGCTCGTCTGAATTAGCTTATAATGAATCTCTATGAAGCGCTTCAGTGCGGAGTGCTGTGTCCAAACGAACTGAATGTATAATTTGCTCGGCTGTGCGGCACTTAAAAGCTGAAAGTGATGCTCAGCGCATTATTGCTCCGTGGTGGATTCCAGTGAAAATCCATACTGCTGTTGTTAAACAAGCCAGTTCGATTGCCGTTAATTACAGCCAAATGTAACGTTCACACAAGCGTTGAAGGGATCGGTGACGGCGGAGTAGTTTCACACAAACACACACACCACATACTCACTTGCTTTTCTCCTCCTCACTCAGCGCGTTCGAAGAAATCGATTCCAGGCGCCTGGGACACGAAGGGGAAAACCTTTCTGCGGCATTCAAACTTCATCATCTTTTCAACACAGGGACTGAAGACGCTGTACTGACATCCTCCACTTCGCAGGGCTCATTTTGGTGCAACAGTTCTCATGTAATCCAGCAAAGAACTTCTGTTAAATTTCGAAGTTCACAGACATTTTCCCAAAAAAGAGTCCTGTGGACTGAGTGAGTTTTGCTCCTCAGTTAACTTCCACTGCTCTATGTCGTCACTTAGACCCCCCATCTTTATCACAACCCCCCCACCCCCGGAGGGCTGACCTCTTGTACGCTGTCAGGGCCTCCTCCAGCCTGGCTTTGTATCCCTCTAGGTCCACAGCCAGGGGGTTGAGCAGGATGACCCTCTGCGAGCCCCTACTCCCTAGGGCCAGCGGCGAGACCTGGGGAGGGATTACAGACACACACATAGTTATACACACAGGTTGTGTCTGCCTGTATGATCTCAGTGGGGCTGCACCCATCAACATAACCACACACACACTTAGTGCCCTCGTCTGGCTCCTTCACAGCAACCTAAACGCCTACTCATGTGCACCGGCTGGGATAATCACCCTCCCTCAATGTGCTCCCTGTGATACACTGTCGCCTCAGATCATCTCTCACAATCACATTACAGAGCACACAGCACACAAAAACACGTGTGTTCCACTAGTTTATCTTAATTACCACCAGCCATTTGTATAATTCAGTTACCGCCGAGGTTCATCGCAAAAACCATCAGAACCGACGTCTCCATGGCCAAGGTTCTAACAACCCACAGGTGTGGGATCCAGAGAGAGGCACACTGCTTCCTGTCTGTCCCTCTCCAAGAGGACCAGGGCAGAGGCACACTGCTTCCTGTCTGTCCCTCTCCCAGAGGACCAGGGCAGAGGCACACTGCTTCCTGTCTGTCCCTCTCCAAGAGGGTCATGGGGCACCCATGTCACAGAGAGTCCTGGCACGGCACGCAATCAATGAGTTTCCATGGAAGCGACTTGTGTTGCCACTTGAAGGAGGACGCACCTGATGTCACAATGGAGCAGCGATCGCTGAATGTATTCGGGGTGCTTTCAACAGGGGACCGCATGTTTACTGTACCTCACGGGGTAAGGGTATACCCCGGAACCCATTACCCGATCAGCAGATAGATGGATGGATATATTAAAACACAGTTATACAGTTAGTCCTTACACATAGTAAGAAAATGGAGAAATGAGACATTTAAATATGCTTACTACAGCATTTAACTGCAGAGTGCTGCATAACACTGTGATTTACTCAGCAGATTAAGGAAGGAGCCTGGAGGTGTAATACATTTTTCATAATGGACGGTACAAAGGTGTACCAATGATACAGAATAACAGCCATTATTCTAAAACTAAAAATACAACTGAAGGGTCTATTTCCTGAAATCAGAAAAAAATGCAAATTCTGTGCATTTACCTGAAATGTGCTGTCGCTGCCCTCTACAGGCCACAAAGAGGATTACTGTCTGCCCACCCAAGCAGCATGTTTTTTTCATTCATCTTATTTAATTTAATTTCATGTATAACGCTTCCCTTTGCTTAAAAAAACTGAGAAAGCCGGTTGGCTTTATAGAATAAACAGTTAATAATATAATGTAGAATTTTAAAATGCATACCCCACTAAAAGTATATCATTTAAATATTATGCAGCTTGATTCTGGCTGGATGACATTAATTACATGATATTTCCTTATTATTATATAAAGGATTTATAGAAGGGAGTGGCTGTTAACCATTTTAGCTCAATTTTAAACTACAGAATGTCAGATTTTTGTCGGAACTCTGCTCCAGTAACACCAGCGATTTTTGCAAAGGGCACCAAACATAAAAGAAAAACAGAACAAACTATTTATTGTTGCAGAACTGATGTTTCAACAAAAAGCTAGTACTGCTGCCCATTCTTACCTCATCAAAAACTTTTGAATGGACATTTGTGTGCAGAATGGGGATGTATTTTGCTCTTTGTCGGATGACTGTGGAGGCCAAAACATCCATTATGGTGAGTCTCCTGGCAACCAGGCTGTTTGTTTGTAGCCAGCGAGCTGTAGGCACATTGAGGGACCTGCAGCCACAGAACAAAGGGCCAAAGGTCAGGGGCCAAAGGTCAGGGGTCAGGGTCAGCTCAGGCTCCCGCATGCTACCTACAATGCCTCAGATCACAGATCTCCAAGGCCCCAGTCTAGGCCTCGCTATAGAGGTGCCTTTCAGTTGATGAATGATTTACTCCTGAAACAACTGGCAAGAGTGAGGTGACTTATTTTAAGAACCCCCCCCCCCACACACACAAGGACCAAAATAGCCCATGTCTGACTTTTCTTTAGTTTTCTCAAGCATCCGTTTCATTTTCCATAGAGAAAGAGACTGCAATCATCACAGACAGGTGTGAGCCACACATTAGCTTAGTTCACTTGTATTCTTCCACACATCGCTGTAATATTTGTAATGCTTGCAAGCTGCACGTGAGGCAATGTAGTACAGGTTACTGCTGAACATGGCCGTGCCAAAATAGAGGACCCAGCTTAGAAGTTGCCGTCCTTACAGAGCTGCCTTTTTCCTGTTCTCTCTCTTTTGGTCATCTTCCGTGGGCGTCGCCTGGAGACCTTTTGGGAACCAGAAGCACGTGAGGTCAGGAAATAAAATGAACCACCAGTTACCAAACATAACTGCTGGAAACTACAGGCTGCCTTTCTACACAGACTTTCCTGTGTAGAACGTAGTAACTGGAAAGAACAAGTCCCACATCAACTGAAATTATTGTGAATTTCATGTAGCTAATTACTCTCAAGGATATGCTTTGATTACCAGTCCCAGACTGTCCTAAAAATAGACCCCAAGTATGAATTGAGCCATTCTGTAGCAGCAGTAAGACCCATTTACAAATACAATTACACATTTTGCCCCCTCCCCCTTTATGTGAACAAACCACATTATTTTACGCTCATTTGACCTTTCAGATAGTTCCCAGCGAAAGTGCAGTTTCAGATTCAGCGCTTTAAGTTCAGTTTTCAGTAAAAAGAAAATTGTACACTTAAATAAAAAACAATGATTCAAAGTTCAGGTCTTCAGTAATGGCTTATCCCAGTCAGGGTTGTGGTGAGTCTGAACCCGATCCCTAGAAGCAGAGGGCATAATGCAGAGGAGGCGCTGGTCGGAATGTCAGTCCGTCGCGGGACACACACACACACACACACACACACACAGACAGAGACACAGACACACGCACACACACACACACACAGACACACACACAGAGACACACATACACACTCATGGACACAATCATGCTCCGTTTCCATATTAACTATTATGGGATTCCCCAGTCACCCACAGGTCTAGCGCTGCTGTGCAGCTGTGAGCGTCTAAATGGGCAGGAATCTTTGCCGACTCACTGTTGAGGACCCAGTTCTGCTTGTCGACATTCTTCTGGAAGAGGGCCTGTGTCTCAGGCAGCGTCCAGTCCTGGGATGATGCTCCGTCCCTGTCCTCGACGTCAGCGGCGTGTTCCAGAAACTCCCGCAGTGCAGCCGTGTCTCTGTGTGCTGGGGTCACAAACACACGGCATACATCTGGGGCCTCACTGCACTGAGACAGACCGATCAGACACCTCACAGACACCTCACAGACACCTCACAGACACCTCACAGACAACTCACAGACACCGATCAGACACCTCACAGACACCTCACAGACACCTCACAGACACTGATCAGACACCTCACAGACACCTCACAGACAACTCACAGACACCGATCAGACACCTCTCAGACACCGATCAGACAACTCACAGACACCTCACAGACACCTCACAGACACCTCACAGACAACTCACAGACACCGATCAGACACCGATCAGACACCGATCAGACACCGATCAGATTGCATTAATTGCAGTAACATAACGAGGCAAACTGAGGTGGCTAATTAGCTCACTGCATGTCCTGGCCCTCAAGCAGTCAGGCTTACAGACCTGGCTGCCATGTCCCCTGGCTTGGACTGGGGTCACGTCCCCGTGAGGAGGGGCCACGCGGCGTGGCCAAGCGGGGTCCCCGGGTACGTATCGCGCTGCCTGGGGGGCGGGGGGCAGCTGGGGGTCGCCTACAGTTCCTGCAGGAGACAAAGTTAGGGGAGCTTTCACGATGTGACGAGTCACTCGGCACTTTGGGGACCTGAAGAGCAGGATCACCTTTCTGCCCCCTTATTGCCGCTGTTGTGATACCAGTCCAGCATGACACACTCTGCCCTGAGCCTCAAAACAGTCTTCAGGTCCTTCTTCCCCTGCTTGATCTCTTCCTTCAGAAGGTGGGTGTCTTCACTCTGATCATCCAATGACATGTTCACTCACTAAAGCGCTTATTCATTAAAACAGATTATTTAGATTTTAATGTTGTTTAATATCGGGGTGGGGTTTCTAAATGGTTACATCATAATGAGCATCAGAACCATGCTCACCACGAAGGGCATGGGCTCTCCGGGATCCACAGAGCAGCTGCAATGCCGGTGGTAGCTGCCCCCGGTCTCTCGGGACAGCTCCACCAAGAAGCAGTCGCTCTCCAGGTCGCTGCAGTCGAAGGACACAGCATGGATCGGGACCGGCCGATCCGACTGCACTCGGGCCAGGAGCGTCCCTGTGTGCTGTCGGCCACCATCAAGACCGCCGACGGTGGAAGACGATGCAGACACCGAAACAAAAAGGACTTCAGCCAAACGGGTGTAGGAATCACGAGTATTTGTGAATGTTTTATGTATGATGTAACATTCTAGGAATATTCTAAGAATAACATTTTGCTATCAACTTTTGTCTGTTGATCCTGCAGTCATGAAGTGACTGCTACTCCGGACATTGGAAACACTCATCATGAATAATCTTCAACCTTTAATCACGCTTTGCTCCAAACTGGAGCACCCAGCATCAGGACACGTGAGCTCCGTACCTCGTCCAGGCCACTGTGGGCCAGAAGGTAAACAGCGTGTGTGTCAATGTCTGCAAGAGCCACCTGCAGAGCTCCGAGGATGTCGGTGGACCCACCGGCCTGGTAAGAGAACATGGTAACTTAAGCCCATTTGTTTTTCCCTGATTGAAGGTCAACCTTTAAACTTCCATACTTGTAGACTGCAACCAGTAAGGTCTTTAACATAAAATAAGAACCATCTGAATGTCAGCCAAAGCTACACAGATGAGCCCATGTGTTCTACCTGTAAACCCTGAACCCAGCTCCAGGCCCTCTCCAGGTTCTTCTCAGTCACCTCCGTCAACCTCACCCTCCAGGAGACCACTTGCGAGCCAAATGCCACAAAGTTGACTTTGGCTTTGAAGCGAAGCTGTTCCTGAAACCACAGCACAGGCTACAGTGAAATCTGTCATCCCCGCTGAAGGAGGACGGCGGAATCTCTGCTGGTGCCCAGAACAGCCTCCGACCTGTATGAGCTGGTAGAACTTGTCCTTCAGCAGAGGAAGGTGCTCTTTCATGGACTCTGAGATGTCTATGAGGATGTACACCTGCAGCTCCAGAACTGCTCCAAACAGCTGCCTGCTGCCCTGCTGCAGCCACTCCAGTCTGTGGGGGCATCAAGCTCTGCTGAAGGCTCCCCCATGGGCTCTGGTCTTGAGGAGACAATTCTGTCAGGGGTTGGGTCCTACCTTCTCTGGATCTTCTTGAGGGCCTCCTCCATCCGGTCTCTGTACCATCTGGACTTCTCCGGAGTGACGTATACATGGACTACAGAGCCATCTACCCATGTCATGTGTGCAAACTGACTGCAGTACTTGGCATTGATTAACTTGCTTTTAAGTTCCTAACACAGGCAAAGACAGAAATCCACAGTTGGTGATCATTCACTGTTTGTGAAGGAGGAAATGAGGTGTAAGCGCATACATCAGGTGAGATTACCAATTCATTAGTTGTAGTTAAATTACTGGTTCTGTAACTAAGCAGAGAGGCCTTGACTTGCCCGCTCCCCACTGGATCCATTCCCTCAGTTAGGCTCCTCCTACTCACAACATCAGGCAGCTTGGCCATGGCGACCTCAACGCCATCCGCATGCCGGAAGGCGCAGTCCGCCAGTGCGTCGTGCAGTGAAAGGTTCTGCACCTTCAGCCCATTGTGGCAGAGCCACGATTTGGAACTTAGACAGTCCTCAGACACTGCGGTTGCCAGACCCCCAGGAACTGCAAGAGCAATGGGAGATTCATATTACACTATCTTCTCAAAATCCTTCACCTCCTTAGGTCCACACCCCTTTACTTGTCACCGTATTTCTACCTCTACTATGTCATTTGAGATGTATCTTTAAAGAATGCAGAAATACGTGTTTACAAATACAGGTTTTAAATGTTCTAAGGGTAAAATCGCCGTACGGTAGATCTCTTTATCTTCATGAATAACCCTACCTGCAGGGGTCACTGTTGCGTTAAGCTCCTGCAGCAGCTCCTGGATCTCAGCCCTGCTGGTCAATGCGTCCTGCATCTCCCTCCACACCAGGAATACGTCCTCCCTGACAACCTCCCCTGCGGAGAAGCACGAGGATTAGCATCACACCTTATGACCATCTGGGCCCTTTTATCCAGGAACCTGGCCGGTAAGGAAACGTCTAGTTTGGTCTGAAACAACCAACGGGCCAACTATGCCACCTGTCTTGGATCCATTGTAATTACAAAAGCTGCAAGTCTGTTTCCACAGACAAATGCACATTTTATTCTAACAAAATCCCCACAAAAAAACAACAGTTGACTATGGGCATCGTAATTCAGGATCAGCCATGTTACCTGGAGGCAGGCCTCCAATGGGCATGAGTGACATCTGACGACTTGCAATCCCATGATCCCCCTCTCCCGAGTCATGTGACACGTCTTCAAACAGGCTCATCTCAGCAAAGGCGTGAAACCTGGACAGCATGGATGTCTCCTCTGGATGAATGTGCCAAACCACGTGACTGTGTTTTGGTACGATTTATGAGTCTCATGGCTTTGAGGTGATAAGCAATTAGTATAAAGGTCGTCATTAATTATGTCTTTAGCTGAATCATTCAATTTTTTCAGCAATAACCTTCATAAACGCCTACAGAAAAACGGCTTTATTCATGGACCCACATCAGCTGGCCACGCTGAGAATGATAATTTTGCCATTTTCAGTATTTACATATGATTTGTAAACTATACCCAAGAAAAGGGGTCAAAACACTCAAAGAGTCCAGACAGAGAATACATGACTGATAAATAATGCATCTAACAATTAATCATTCATTCATTCACCAATGGCATCCTTCCTCATGGTAACGTATGAACCATAGCTGCAGTGCTACTTGTGGGGAGGCATCGTCCAGGCTGATTAAACACCTTATTTGATCTATAATTTGGTCCAACTAAAATGTTTCCTTCATACCTCCCAGCAGTATGGTGGGATAATTCCTTTAATCTTTTAATGGTTTCCTCTCTCCTGGCGTTGAACGACACACAGTGAATGGGTTGTGCATTTTTCATTCTTCTCGTCTTCAGCAGTCTGGCTGTGTCCACTTTGCAGTCTCCCACAACAAACAAGTATACAGCCTCTAGCTGAAGAGCCAGGAAAAAGAGAGCTGGGAATGAAAGGGAAATTCCCATTCTGTGGTGGGATTTCCTATGACCTCACTGGGAATTTCCATTACCTCACAGAAGTCTAATGAACCAGCAGAGTAATTGTTACAAGGCCAAAAGGTTCAATACGTAGCGTGTTTTTATCTGACGAGAAATGGCAACGCAATTAAATGAGCTTGTCGCCAGGACATCTCTGCCCCTGTCATATAAAGGGTTAGAAGAATCTCCGGATTATTACATCGATTACAGAGTGTCACCTTCGGGTCCCCTGTTGCTGCAAGCAGTGCGTTGGCAGTATATGAGGGAGAGGACTTTGCAGGACACAGTCCCCAGACCCACGCCACAGCAGCGTCGATGTTAGTGGGTGACGTGCACTCCGCTACCCCCTGCCACAGCTCAGCTACTGGACCAGGCCTGAGACATTTTTAAAAAAACCTGAGCTAAGGAGGTAATCACCATCACACGCAATCTGTCTGAAAGGGAACGACAGGGTAACGAGCTGCTGTCATCCCAGAATTTGCAGCTCCCTCACCGAATAAGGTTGAACCAGGCGATCTGAGACACCTGCTCCTTGATGACCATGCACACAGAGCTTTGGCCTAGGCGGAACTGGCCCGCGCTTGCAGCACCGAAATCCAGCACTAGGGCGGCGCTACGCTCCTGGATGACCCCGAATATCTGCCGACTGCCACTTGTGAGCCAAGCCAGTCGATATCGGAAGAGTCTGGCCTTCTGGTCCAGTCTCTCGCACAGCTCCTCCAGCTGTTCAGGACTTGCAGTCAGCTGTGGATGGACAACATACCCGCACGTGGTAACAGGGATGTAAAAACCCGCACATGGTAACAGGGATGTAAAAACTGCTTTCAGTTACATTCACCAAGCACAATGGCTCACGTTAACATTAACACTTAAGATCATTGTGTTATGACTGCTAAAAATTTTACTCAAGGATGATTCTTTTAAAGAGATTTTAACTTTTAACTGTATAATATTTGATCTATGTCTTGTGAGGGTATGTTTTCATATTAAACCATTTTTTCTGGCCTCTAACCACGCCCCCCCCTGCTCAGTGGACAGTTGAACAAGTTTGTGCTTGTGCTCGGAACGGCAGAAGGGGCTGGTGTGCTTACGTTATAAACAGATCCATTCTTCCCCACCCGTGTGAACAGGCCTCCAGCGTACTGAGAGCAGACCGATCTCCCAAGAGAAGGAACGTAATCTGAATTTCAACAGAGAAAGACACTACCTGTTATGACATACAGGTACTGCAAAGACCACGCATGCACAATACTTCATGGAAACAGCTATCCCTATCAATGTGGTATGAGCAAAAACTGTCATAATATCTAAATAAAAAATGTTAGCAATTAATCATTATACATTTTATGATAATCCTGGTGCACAAACTGATATTGTGTATAAAAAGAATGATTTGTTCCATGTATGCAATAGTTATTTTCCACAGTGACACAAGACAAACCTTTGACTTTTACGTGGACTATACTTTTTTGTCCTGGTGTGTGACATGAGAACGCTACCCTCAGACAACGGCGTCCTTCTCATGCCTGCCTTACCTTCCCTTTGCCTGAAGCCGATTTGTGCGAGGACCTGAGGGAGCGTGAGCTTGCTCGCCTTCAGTCCGTTTACCCTCAGCCATGCTGGCGAGGACAGAAGGGTGTTCGCGTCCCTGTTGGGGCCTGTTTCCTGTCCCTCCCTCCGGCCCTGCAGCCGTCCAGCCATGTGTCCAGAAGCAGGGATCTATGTCCGTTTGCGTTCCTTCACTCTTACATATTTGAGTGAGTGATCGCAGATAAATTCTCCAAAAAAGAGATGAAAGTACAGATAAGCTCTGTATTTTCCAGAGGTATTCACTGTCCATTTATAAATTCTATTTAAGATGGGTGAACTTTCAAAACTGTAATTACATCATTTGATATGCGTATTCATTCAATATATATATATTTTAAAAAAATATATCGTTAAGCAAACAGCAATGTACTCTGTGCAGGCGTTTTCTTGGTTAAGAATATATGCATAAAAGGCAAATGTGACGATCGACTTTCTCCACTCGCCATTTCTTCCTTATGACGTTTAAGCCCCTCCACGCATTTAACAGTCTTATAATCCAAAACGGGGTTAGTCAGTAGTACGACCCCCTCTGTGTCTAAAGATGGATTACCAGTGACACAAGACAAACCTTCTTTGACTTTTACATAGACTATCTTGTACTTTACTATATATTTAACAGTATTATTTATTCAGTAATTAGCCTACTCGATCGTCATACTAGTGTTTTAAACGCTGATCAACAACCAGACCTCTGCAAACGAGTGTGCTGTTAAATATAATAGGAAAATGAAATAATGATATTAATATTTTAGCATATTTCTTGCTAGCCGTAAAAGAAGGCGCAAACGATATTGCATTGACACTTGAGTACAAAACACTGATAAACATCTGGTAAAACAAATCATTAATAGCGTTGTTTTAATTATTATTTCATGTATAATAACACTGAACTTTACGGTGCAAATGTAACAATGAATGCATCTAAAAGTCGGGACAGCCTGTCCTCTGTAGCTAAGCAGCTGCAGAATATGTTCATAGATTGTTTGTGATGGTGAAAAAGAACAACTTCAGTGCAAGAACAGTTCAGCTTTTCATTTACCTTATTATAGTGCCGTTTTTACTCAGTACCGCACGCTGACGTTCACACTGTGGTCTCACATTAGCTGCCACACTGTGAGAACTCGATCGGTTTCTGTTGACACTGTTGCTATGCTTTGGCCAATCCAGTTAAGGATTCCGCCCCCCCCCCCCCACACACACACACACACACGCCCGCACGAAAACCTGTCAAATGTTCTGCAAGTGTATTTCATAATCACATATGATTATATGTTACAGTTTTTCTCCCACGTGATTAAAATGTACCAAGAGCCAAATCTACCGGCCCATTATTCACGGAAAATCTGCCGTTCGCATTATGTGGCCAGATCGAGTTGCAAAGTTAATGAAAATCTTAGAAAGCACATAAATAAACACCACATGACAACCGGAAAGAAATACTAAAATATTACCGGTGTTTGCAAAGCTACCAAGGCGTAACTTAGGCTATTATCCACAAACGTCAAAGGATTAGGCCTGTATACGCAGTAAAGCTACGTATTACAACAATTGTATGCATTTACGTAACTTAAACATGTATGGAGAACGCCCAATATTTGTGTTTACAGTTTTTTTTTAAATCATGAGTAATGCATGATTATGATTTTACCATCATTCAGACCTGTGTTCCTTCTCCAAGGCGTATTGCAGGTTTTCACTCGGAGTGCTTCAACTTTCAAACCACAAGATCAAATGCATTTTTTTTACCACGAACGTTTAAAAAAGGAAGCCTATAGGTTTTTCTCGAACAAAACCATTTTACCATGGACACGTCTGTCCGTGTACAGACAGGGTGGCGATCACTGCATTTACCTCTAGGCTGCACGCAAGACATGACAACGTCAATTGTGTATACTGGGCATACAATATGTAATTACTTAGCAGAATCCTTTTACAAAACTGCATTTCCACAAAGCAGGTATACTAAGCTACCAATTTTCCCAGGCATTCTGAAAGATATACATCCTTTATAGTAAAAACACTGAGAAAAGAAACATAGGCCTATTCTTTACTCACAGCACATATATGTTGTCATTTATGGCCGAATCTTAATAAAAACTAATTCAGAATATATAGCAATTAGTGTCATGGTACCTTTTGTACTAAGACCTTCATATTTTCACTAAATGTTATTCAATTATATTTATAGTTGTATGGTCCACTACAATCATTGACCAAATACATTCCTTTATCTACAACGTATAGCTTAAACTACATTTTACTCTGTTTACTAACGACGTTTTTCTATGCTTTTTGCATTATTTTTATACAAAAGTTTTGGCAGAACATTACGAAAAACGGTTCTTCCTGAAAATAAACCCAACCGTAATATATTAGCCTATCTGTATAACTTCACATTTTAATCTTCACTTTATATTAGTCTAATAGTGCTTCAAAGATATTTGTTTATGGTATATGTGTATGTATGTATGTATGTATGTACGTATGGTAGGGTAATCCTAGTACAGTATTTGTGTAGCAACAAATATCTTAGTCGGGATAAAATTTCAATTTTAATATATCACATTTAAAATGTCCCAGAGATGAAATACAGTATGTCTAAATGCTAATAAATTATATGGTGAAGTCAACAAATAAAAAATACATTTTTGCGTTCATGCCAGACTTAGAATGCTTCGCAGTCACTGTTCTGAATTTGTTTCTAATTGCTTTTCCACTCTAGCAATGAGTCATACGTGTGAAAACACAATTAAGTAGCGTGCAGAAATGTAACTTGTTGAATTCCTTTCCTAGATATCCAAAGTTTTATCGGTTCAAATCTGTAAGGAATGTATTAATCTGTGTTATTTTTAGTTTGTGGTTTGGAATTTTAACATATTTTACTTTATTGAGTCGAGAGCTGTAGAGAATCAGTTCGCAAATAACGCGCAAAATTCAACAGTAATTAAAAGTGCTGCGGACAGGCGTGTCCTGCAGTACCGGTTTCTTCCGCTTGGCGTCTCTGCGCCTCCGCCGGAGCCCTACAGTGTTTATATCAGCATGCAGCCGCTGGCTTTGCTCATAATGACACAGCCACGGTAGTATGGCGAGCGTTGCGAGAGCCGACACTCTATTTCACCTATCAATGGAGAAAAGAACACCATGCTTGGGCATCCTGCGCCTTTTATTTATTGCATTTTTTCAGGTTTCACAGGCCAACAAACAAGGTTGGTGTCGCTTTCCCCCGTCTGTGTACTATTTTTGGAAATCCTTGTAATAAGTATTGATACATTGCGGTGGTTGGGTTGGCACTGATAGCTAGCAAACAGGCTGGCTAGTTAGCTCGCTAGCTTGTGCCGTGGGCTGCCGAGTGAACGGGGCGATTGTCAAAACGTTAGCCTTGTTAGCCAGGCTAGCAAGCTCCAGTGCCGTTCTGTAACGTATCCTCCGTTTACACATCTCATCTGAATACAGTGAATATAGCGACCAAATTAACTGATAACCTGGACCCCCCCCCCCCTTTTTTTTTTTTTTTTAATGTTCTCGTACCGACAGGTTAACACGCAATATTGGTCAGCTAGGGAGATATTTTGGTACCTGGCTAGCGGTAGCTAATTTGCATGTCCGACGAACTGGCGAGCGCCGTTTTTTCCATTAAGGGAAAAAAAACACAAAATTTGTCCCATGTCATAATGGAGCTGATCGTCCGTGTTGTCGTAGTCGGTGTCCACCAAACTGACTTATTCGTGTCTCATGTAAACTAGCTAGTTAACTTTACATTGGGACCTTGGACCATGCACACATTCCTTCCAGAGTTGAACGCCTTACACGCACAATTCCTCGGCAAAACGTAGAAATTTAGACCGAGGCTTTTTTCTGGGCCTGGACGGATTCGGCAATGACACTGTCAGTTTCAAATACCGATTTGTTATAACCGGCATGTAATGGCAAGAGCAAGATTTCAACAGTTACCCTGCAAATCAATTCACTCAACTGCACTTCAGATATAGAACATTTTTAAATGTGTTCGGTAGAAAATGGTACCGGGTTTCTGATAAATTGTCTTCATTTTTTTTAAAGGGGTTAGCTAACTAGCATGCTAGCCAGCTCGCCACGAAAATGTCTTAGCTAGCTGCTAGCGTCTTCAGTGTGTGTTTATATATAAAACTTAGTACTTGTGGCAATTTTAAGTTGTTGATGAGTCCTTAAGGTTGTATATGCCAATTCGTAGCCAGTTCAGGGTAGAGGTGTGTTCTTCTGTAGTAATTCTTAAATATTTTACAAATGCCTGAAGTCCCAAACGGTTTGCTTTAGGTTGGTTTTGAATAACAAAATTGCAGAGTGGTTAACTTTTTTCAGCGTGTGTCATTGAGTTGCTGCTGTGTTTGCTTTGTTTTAAAGATGTTGGCGAAGCTATGACTGTTCGCGGAATATTTTATGTTTTAAAAACTGAAACTCTTTTGGTTAAAACTATGATGCAACTAACCAAATCTAAAAAAACAAAACAAAAAAACTTTAAAGTCTATGCAAGGCCATGACACACATTGACAGCTACCTTGTTATTCACGTGCTGCATATCTCTAGGAACTTTGTTTGCTACCATGGTAGTTCTCTATCAAAAATGTTCACAGGTTACTTATTTGGAATATTATCGTTGCGTCCATACAAATCATCAAAGTCAGCTGCGGACCATTTCAGTATCAGGAACGACAATGACGCCTTTAATTTTCTGTACTGCATTTTTTTTTTGCAAGCAGTTTGAAAGGTGAGAAATACTGGCTTTGGGTTAAACTGAGCAGCTGACCCTGTAGTATTGGTACATACAACATGGCTGTTAAGCAGCAGTCTGAATTAATAGGAGTGCTGCCATTATAATGGTAGTTTCTATGGAACTGTCTTGTGTGATCTGTTATGTCTTGTAATTTCACCAAAGGGGTTTTCCCTCTTGCTTTGCAGCCATTTATAAACACAAACGTGTGGAAGTGTCACTGGTTTGTATTGGCAAGTCTTTTCAGCCATCGAGATTAATATCGGTGATCTCACCTGTCATATTGTAGGTTTAAATGTTTTGTGTGAGCACCTGTTGCACATCTTAGCCATGAAATGAATGTGTATAGAATAGACTTAGAGATCGTATAGACACCTTTGCAGTACCTTGTAACAGTAAGACAAGGCAGTTTTTGTAGTCCTCAATTCAAATGGGACACAGTTTTGCCCTGGGGTATAAGTCATAGATATGGTTTAAAGCCCTCAACTAAGAGTGACAACTGTTTCCCCATTGTTTCAGTAGGTTTGTGGGCTTAGAATGCTTGTGGAAGAGCTGTCAACAAAACGGTGCTTGAAAAGCTTAGACGTTTAATGACCAAAGCTGTCTCCAGTTTCTCGATGGCATCTGAAATATCATGCTGTCATGATAACACAGTCAAGTATCTGTGGCCAACAAACTCTTGCATGTGGTAGTAGGTCCTGTAGGTCTGCGACCAAATGTGACCCAAAGCTGGCCTGGACATATTGGCTGCACTTAACTTGAAGGATTACTTTGGCATTTGGGCAAACCAAAGTGCAAAGAAACCCTGAAAAGTCTTGGAGTAATTCTGTCTTTGATTGTGTAAGGCATCTTTGACGGGAAGGTGTCTAGGATGTGTTTTAAAGGGTCAATGGTCGCTTTCAATCATGGGTGAATTTTTGACCTTGCACAATAACGGAGTTATCCATAGAAATTCAGGGCCATGCAGAAATCTATTCAGCTCATCTGCTACCCTAAAGATTTCATGAAAGTAGTGTTTTAGGATGACAATCAAAAAGTTAGTAAAAATCTAAGTGGTGAGGTGGTAGCTGGTTCTAGAGTAGCTTACCGCAGGAGTGTGCTTATTTTCTGACAACTTTTATTATTTATGAAAATGCGACATATCTGACTGTCTGTGTCTGATTTTGTATTTCTGTGACAGTCTTCCCAATGATTATATGCAGACTGGAACTCTTGGAATGCAGCAGTTTATAGTAGAGGAATCCCTGTTGGTTACCTGAGTACTTCCACATGAACAGGTAGAGTAACAGAAGTGCGTTTGGACTTCCAACATATTGCTTAAATGCATTGTAGAAGTTTGCAAACAGGGTTTTGGAGATTTCAGAATTCAGCATTTACATATG